TATTGGACACATAGGACACCACCCCTCGGGGCTCCACTTCCGACCCCCCGATCCTCAGCACCACGTTTTTTTGTGTTGTTGGCCCGCCGCCTCGGCGCGGCACCGCCACGCCGCACGATTTGGCTGCGGCCCGCACTCCCCGGCCGCCGCAGCCCCCTGCTGCGCAGGATCCCCACCGGGACGGGCCAAGCTCGACACCGAGGAGATCACCCTTCCCGTGCGAGCAGTGCCTGCGAGGGACACAGTCAGACCGCATAGCAAGGATGTGCGATAAGGACACAAGGGCCTTGGCCGCCTGTTTCGAAGCTTTTCGAGCAACTCGCGGCCATCGAAAGGCCAAGGATGGACCGAGAAGGCAAGGATGTACAGGTACCCTTGGGAAGGTTGCCCATCCTTGCTATGCAGGTACGCTGTAGAGCGAGAGTTGGGTCCCACAGCCACGGCCCACTGGTCCCCCTCTCCATGTGCAGGGGCGTGGCGTTGCTAGTCCCTCCTCCTCCCAGCCCGACCACGCGCAGCTTGAGGTTGATGACCACGCTCATTATAGCTGGGTTCACGGCGAGTAGCAGGGACAACCGCAAGCCGCGGTAGAACATCCCCAGACCACCTGCGACCAGGTGCGGGGAGGAAAGCGGGGAGGAGAGGGAGAAGGAAGGGGAGCAGCATAAGAGCAGGAACAGGAGAAGGAGGACGGAGCAGGTGCCAAAGGAGCCTGGGAGTGCAGAGTCAGCATGGGGAGACGAGGTGGGGGGAGCACGGGGGAGCACTGGAGAAGGGCTCCGCGGCGCCACGTGGCGGCGCAGACGCAGCCTGACCCCGGCAGGTCCCCAGGACAGTTCCCCGTTGGAGAACCCTCCTCCGCCCCCCCATCCCTAGGCAGCTCATCCCGATGGCCCAGCAGCTGGGGCCGGAGAGATCGCCATGCCTGGCCTCGTGGTCTGGCCCACCGCTTCCACCACACACACGAACTGCCACACCACCATCGGAATAGCGCTCCTGTGACGATGTGCTCTCACTGGTTGACAGCCTCGTAGAGAGGTAGACAGCACGAGCCTTTGCATGTAGGATACGGGCGGGGATGTCCCTCCTGAGCGAATGATCGAACGCACGAAAAGACTAGTAGACGCAGAAAGCAACGAGAAAGTCACGAACGGGCACTCAATCTTCGAGGACCGTGCTGTAAAACTGATTATGGAACTCACGCCTCTCAAAATGATCTGCACACTGATGCAATAAACAAGTTTCCCGCCTCGGTCACGCACAGATCCCCCGAACTAAATCCGCCGACCCCTTGGGGATCATCGGCGTGTGAGATGCTTCCCCCTCCCCAAACCCCTCCCCCGGGAGCCCGGTCCGGTCGATTTGGAGGGGGGGGGGGGTCCGGCGCGAGCGGGGGGGGTCCGGGACGAGCGACTCACGGGGCTTTTCCGGGCCCAAGAGGGCCTCAAGACGGGCCAAGAAGCCCCCAAGAGGCCTCCAAGACGGCCCACGAAGGCTCCGAGACGCCAAACGACCGGTCCAAGACGCCCACGATGGCCCCAAGACGGGCCAAGAGGTCTCCAAGACGGCCTCCGAGGTCCCAAACAAGCCTCCCAAGAGGGCCCAAAGAGTCTAAAATTGTTGATTTTCCCGAGTGTTTTTCGACGTTTCTTGCTTTCCCGCCTTTCCGGCTTCCCGACGCTCCAAGACGGCCAAAGAGGCCCCAAAGATAGCCCCAAGATGGCCCAAGAGGCCCCCAAGACGGCCTCCAGACGGCCCAAGACGGCCCCAAGACGGCCCAAGAGGTCCCCAAGACGGCCCAAGAGGGCCGATTTGGAGGGGGGGAGGGGGCCGGGACGAGCGCAGCACGGCCGGGACGAGCGGTTCCAGGGCTTTTCCGGGCCCAAGAGGGCCTCAAGACGGGCCAAGAAGCCCCCAAGAGGCCTCCAAGACGGCCCACGAAGGCTCCGAGACGCCAAACGACCGCTCCAAGACGCCCACGATGGCCCCAAGACGGGCCAAGAGGTCTCCAAGACGGCCCCCGAGGTCCCAAACAAGCCTCCCAAGAGGGCCCAAAGAGTCTAAAATTGCTGATTTTCCAGAGTGTTGTTCGACGTTTTTTGCTTCTCCGCCTTTCCGGCTTTCCGACGCTCCAAGACGGGCAAAAAGGCTCCAAAGATAGCCCCAAAATGGCCCAAGAGGCCCCCAAGACGGCCTCCAGACGGCCCAAGACGGCCCCAAGACGGCCCAAGAGGTCCCCAAGACGGCCCAAGAGGGCCGACTTGGAGGGGGGGAGGGAGCCGGGACGAGCGCAGCACGGCCGGGACGAGCGGTTCCAGAGCTTTTCCGGGTCGAAGAGGGCCTCAAGACGGGCCAAGAAGCACCCAAGAGGCCTCCAAGACGGCCCACGAAGGCTTCGAGACGCCAAACGACCCCTCCAAGACGCCCAAGATGGCCCCAAGACGGGCCAAGAGGTCTCCAAGACGGCCCCCGAGGTCCCAAACAAGCCTCCCAAGAGCGCCCCAAGAGTCTAAAATTGTTGATTTTCCATAGTGTTTTTCGATGTTTTTTGTTTTTCCGCCTTTCCGGCTTCCCGACGCTCCAAGACGGGCGACGAGGCCCCAAAGATAGCCCCAAGATGGCCCAAGAGGCTCCCAAGACGGCCTCCAGACGGCCCAGGACGGCCCCAAAACGGCCCAAGAGGTCCCCAAGACGGCCCAAGAGAGCCGATTTGGAGGGGAGCGGGAGGGCCCGGGACAAGCGCAGCACGGCCGGGACGAGCGGTTCACGAGGCTTTTCCGAGCCCAAGAGGGCCTCAAGACGGGCCACGAAGCCCCCAAGAGGCCTCCAAGACGGCCCACGCAGGCCCCGAGACGCCAAACGACCGCTCCAAGACGCGCAAGATGGCCCCAAAACGGGCCAAGAGGTCTCCAAAACGGCCCCCGAGGTCCCAAACAAGCCTCCCAAGAGGGCCCCAAGAGTCTACAATTGTTGATTTTCCATGGTGTTCTTCGACGTTTTTTCCCCAAGAGGCCCAAGACGGCCCAAGACGAGAAAGTGTCACATGTGGCGGCTCTCCTCGTCCTCGTCCCCGTCCTCCTCCTTCTCCTCCTCTTCATCCCTCCGCCTCATCCACACCATCACCATCACCATCACCATCGCCAACATCATCAAGCCTGGAGATACAACGCGTAACAAGTTAGGACATCCGTGATCCCTCGCGCAAGAACCACCGAGACAGCTGGGCGGGCGCGGTGGCGGGACTTGCCGCAGGCAGCTGGATAAAAAAAGAAGGGAGCAGAGGAGGAAGAGGAGGCGGCCACGGGCGCCACAGAAGCGGACTTCGGGCCACGCGACCCCCGCAGCCGAGGGCCGACGGCCGCGCGCCCAGACGGCCCCCAGCCCCCTGCGGAGAGGGGGGTGCGACTGGCGCGGCACGGCAGCACGGGCATGCTGGCAGGAGTTTGACGGGGGGCGATGAACGGGGCGGCGAACTGGCACAGAAGTTGCTGAAAGTTTCCGGCCCTTCTCGTCGCCACGGCTGTATTCCTTCTTGAAATCCCACCAGCCCTTTGGGTGTGAGTGGTTTAAGGAGCTCTCTCTGTCCTCAACCCCCCTTCTTCCCCTTCGGGGAGGGGTTTACCCCTCCCCCTACCCCCTCCCCCTGGACCTGGACAGGGAGTTCCGCGGGTCGTCAGGGGGGTCTTTTTCGACGTCTGGGAGGGCAACAAAAAAATCCGACCCTCACGAGGATTCTGGCCCCGAAGGGGGGGGGGGGAGTTTGGTGCCCCAGCTCGTTTTTGAAGCAAAACTCATTGATTTTACTATGGTTTCGGGCCCATTTTGGGCTTCTGAAGGGGGCAGCGCTGATCGTCCTTCATAGCAAAATTATTGATTTTACAAAGGTTTTGGGCTCATGTTTTCCTTCTCAGAGGGCAGCGCTCATTTGCGCTTCTCAGGAGGTCGCAAGAGGCCCCAAGATGGCTCCAAGAGGCCTCCAAGAGGCCCCCAAAATCGTGTCGTGGCTCCAGAATACGTCCACCGTGGGGCCCAGTGGGAAGATTCGCATGCAAGTATACCCCATGCCGGCACACCCTTTGCACGCGCCGTGGCCTCGCACATGGCCAAGTTGACCCATAATGACTCCTGGACAGCCCCCAAAAAAAACTCCCGACCGCTACCGAAACGGCTCGAAGACATTCCCGAGCCCAACCTGGCTCCATTATGCCTCTCAGATGGCCCCAGATGAGACCACGACCGCCCGCGGTGTCGCCGTCCGCTCGGACACCCCCGCGGAACTGCCCGAGACCCTCTGGCAGTGGCGGCGAACAGACACCAAACAAATATCACTCGCCTTTTCACCCCTTCGCAGCTTCTACTGCCCCCCGATTGGCATAAACAAGGGGTCGGCGGTGTGGCGTAAGCCTAAGAATCTAAGGAACGCTCCGACAAACAAAGCCCTTCCTGAGCTCAAAATTGTCCTTCTAGCAGAACCTTGACTTCATGGCCGAACTCAACCAAAAAAGTCGAGGCAGCGGAGCAGCGAACTTGCTCAGGCATCATCAAGTACCGAGATGGCTCTCCCCCTCCAGACGATGTCTCCTCCAGGATCCCGTCCATCATGCTGACACTCCAGAGGTGAACGTTAGAAGGAGGACTAGCTCAGGGGGGAAACATCGAGCTGGAATCGGGGATACATCGCCAATAGATCGACGACCTCGGCCCCGATGGCGAAACAGCACGGTCCTGAGCGCTATCGAGCCCGTATCGGCGATGAACGGGCGATTGGGAGTCGATGCGTCCCACCCAGATCCTATCTACCCCTAATGTTGCTTGGCGGCGCGCACAAGGGGGTGGAGGGAGGGGGAGGGCTTCTCAAAGGAGGCTGCTTCTTAGAAGGCGCCAGCCTTACATCCATGGATAAGGCCCGCGCCTTCTAAGAAGAAGGGGTGCTTCTAAGAGGGGGGAAGGAGGAGAAGGACGAGGAGGGAGGAGGAGGGAGGAGGAGGAGGAGGAGGAGGAGGAGGAGGAGGAGGACGAGGCGGAGGAGGAGAAGGGGCAGGAGGAGGACCCCCTCCCCCTCCGACTTATGGTTGCGGCGGTGGAAGACAGGCCCACCACTAGCGTTGCCCATGCCCCCCCCCTCGGCCCGCCGTGGCGATACAGCAGGAGCGAGGTGGCGAAGAAGCCGTGCCGGCCGTCGGACAGCAGCTGCCAGAGCGCCACCATCTGGGGCGCGCGGCGGCGCGCGCGACTCCCGCGCCCGCACCAAAGGTCACTCTGGCGAAAGCTCACTCCTCTCCTCCTCCTCCTCCTCCTCCTCCTCCTCCTCCTCCTCCTCCTCCTCCTCCCCCTCCTCCCCCTCCCCCCCGCCCGCACCGCCGCCCACGGTTGACATGCGAGGCGGGGGCTCTTGTCCACAGCCACTGGCTCGGGGCGACCTGCGGGGACTCGGCGGGCGGCGCCACATGGAGATGCATGCGGTCCCCGAAGAGGTCGGCTCCGCAGGGTACAGCAGGAGCTCGACCACGAGAGACCTTCCACAAGAGACCCAACCCTGAGACCCCAAGGACGTCCATCGATTTGTGGTGCGGGAGCGTCGCGCTCCCCAAGGCAAAACCATCCAAACCCAGGCAACCCAGGGCACCCTGGAGGCAACCAAGGCGCTCCTTGGCAGGGGCCTCCACTGTACTATGGCACACGGTCGTGGACGAGCCCCTGCGTCGGGCGGCACGGCAGACTTGCAGAGACACGCGCCGGGCGCCTCCGGCGGGCCCGCGCCCCGGGCTCCGGACTCGCCCCGCGGGCCCGCGGGCGGAGCCTGGCTGCTGCAGAGGCAGGCTCCGCGCGCCAGCGCCCGTGCGGCCGCACCACGCCGCGGTCTGGCCGTGGCCACACGCCGTGGCACGCGGCGTGTGGCCATGCCGCGGCACTCCCTGATGCCAAAAGCACGGGCAATTCCTCCTCTTCAGCGCCGCGGAAGGTTTTTGGGGGCAGATCATTCCTTCATTCCCTCCACATCACCACCACCACCACCATCATCATCATCATCATCATCATCATCATCATCATCAGCATCATCATCATCATCATCATCACCACCATTATCACAATCATCAACCTCATCATCATCATCCTCCTCATCATCAACCTCATCATTACCATCATTACTACCATCACCATCATCATCCTCATTATCATCAACAGCATCCTCATCATCATTAGCATCATCATAATCAGCAGCCGCAGCTTCAGCAGCCTCATTATCACCATCATCACCATGAGCATCATTATCGTCATGAGCATCATTATAATCGTCATCGTCGTCGTCATCCTCATCATCTTCCTCATCCGTATCATCATCCACCTCCTCCTCCTCATCATCATCACCATCTTCATAAAAGTCATCACCACAACCATCATCATGAACATCACCCTCCTCCTGCGCGCCGTCGTCGTCCTCATCACCGTCATCATCACCACTATCAGCATCATACTCGTCATCGCCGTTATCATCAGCATCGGTAGCATAAGCACCGCGGTCGTCATCACCACCACCAACATCGTCAACATTACTATCATCGTCATCACCATCATCACGAACATACCGTCGTCGTCATCATCATAAGCCGGTGTCACCATCGTCAACATCCTGATCATCACCATCACCATTACCACCAACATCATCATCGTCGCCATTATCATCATCAACGACATCATCATGATCATCATCAGCATCGTCGTCATTGTCGGCGTCACCATCAGAATCGTCGTCATCATCAGCAGCAGCAGCATCACCCCCACAACCAACACAACCACCACCACCGCCATCATCATCATCACCATCATCATCACCATCATCATCAACATTGCCGTCGTCGTTGTCATCATCACCATCATCGCTATTACCCGTATCAACATCCACCTCCTTTCCATTATCGTCACCATCATCGTCATGGTCACCAGCAGCACCACCGTCATCATCACCGTCCTGGTGATCAGCATCATCGTCCAACTCCTCGCCGTCGTCATCCTCATCCCCATCATCATCACGACTACCTGTATCATAAGCATCTGTATCATTTTCGTCGTCATCGTCGCAATCACCATTTGCATCGTCATCATCACCATATCCATCACCCTCATCAGCATCATCAGCATCATCATCATCTTCATCCTCATCCTCATCCGCATTACCTGCATCATCATAATCTTGATCCACCTCATCAACATCGTCATCATGAGCATCCTCACCATCACCTTTCATCCTCATCATCTTAGGATGACTGTCATCATCTTTATAATCAGCATCATCAGCATCATCAGAAAGATTATCCTCATCATCCTTATCATTTGTCTCATCCTCATGATCCGCATCAGAATCATAACATTGATCCTCATCGTCAGCATCCTCATCATGGTCATCCTCACCATCACCCCTCATCTTCATCATCTTCAGAATGACTGTCAACATCTTCATATTCATCATCATCATCAGCATCATCATCATGTTCAGCATCACCATCAGCATCATCAGCATAATCATCATCATCATCCTCATCATCGTCGTCGTCATCATGCCCATCTTCATCGTGATCCTCTTCATCATCCGAGGCAGTACCACCTCAATCAACATCATCATCATCATCATTATCATCATCAGCGTCACCATCATCATCATCATCATCATCATCATCATAAGCGTCGTCGTCATCGTCATCAGCATCAGCATCATTATCCTCATCATCGTCGTAGTCATCATGCACATCCTCATCCTGATCATCCTAAGCAGTACCACCACAGTTATGATCATCATCATCAGTATCATCGTCGTCGTGGCTATCGTCTTCATCATCAGGATGAGTATCATTATCCTCATCATCGTCGTCGTCAGCATGCCCATCCTCATCCTGACCCTCATCATCATCATCATCATAAGGATTACCACCACCGTCCTGATCCACATCCTCATCATCATACTAAACAGTACCACCACAATCATCATCAGCAGCATCAACATCACTATCATCATCATCATCATCATCATCGTCATCATCATCATCATCACCATCACCATTACCATCATCATCATCACCATCCATCATCACCAGCAGCCTCATCATCATCAGCATCATCATCACCATCACCACCATCAGCAGCATCATCACGTCGTCGTCGCCGCCACCTTCGCCCTCGCCGCCGTCGTCGTCATCCGATGTTTCCTTTGCCTTCCCAGCACGAGCCGACTTGGCGCGTCGCTCACTCGAGTGCGCCTTCGAAGAACTGCAGAAGATCCTCCCCGTCCCCTGCCTTCCACAGAGCTCCGTGCCTCGCAAGACAGCGCCCCGAAGCACCCCAGCGGGCGCCCAAGAGCGCTCCCGTCCTCGACCGCCGACGACGGCGACGTCTTGGAGAGGGCCCTCGGACTCCAGCAGGGGCCCGTGGTCCCGTCGCCGCTGCCGCCACCCCAGCCCCCTGGTCGCATCATCTGCTCGCGGCGTGGACCCCCCGCGGGCTCGACCCCCCTCCCTTCCCCGGGGCTCCATTTTGATCGTGCTGGACGACCGACATGGGCACGGAACGCATGGGCACGATGCCCGAGAACGAATGAGCGGCGATCAAGAAAGGGTCTAACGCGAGATGGCACAGCAACCCTACGCGGCAGCTTACACGGGCCGCCAGCGCGGCACGCTGCGCTGGAGACGAGGGCGCTCACGCGCGAGCTTGCGCGGTCAGCTCACGCATGAAAGTCGGCGCAGACGACCTCCCTTTTGTTGCAGGGCTCAAAAGCTGTCCAACAACGACAGCGGTCGCTCTTGGCCAGGCGGCCTCCTGTCTCAAAGGGGCAACGTCCGCGGCGGCGCGAACAGCGAGTCCGGTTCAAACTTACCAGGAACTGCTGACGATCTTTGTAACTCTGTACCCGTTCTTCCCGCACGCGTGACGATCGCCCCGAATCGTGGGCCCTTCCGTTGACGGCCCATGCAGCCTGGCGAGGAACCCACGGAGGCCGGATACAACCAGAGACCTCCCGTTGGGATCTCGTCTCGGCGCGGGGGGAGACTGGGGAGGAGGCCCCTCCTCTCCTCTCCCTTGAGACCGAACGACTACAGCCGAACGTGCGATCAAGAAGCTGCCGTTCAGGAAACCTGGACAAGACTCCCAGAGGTCTCTTAAAACAAATTGAATTTAAGAGCAAGTCTGAAGGGGCCCTGGGACACACAAGTAAATACACACAAATAAAAGGATTCCCCATATTTTCCAATATTTTCTGGGCTTGCGCCTTCCCCCCCAATCCCCATTTTTGTTCCCATAGATTCTCGGTAATCGACGATTCATTGTGTCTGCGTCTTTCTCCCCTCCTGCAAGTCGGCCCAGGCTCAGCCTGGGCCGACTCGCTCGTGGCTAGTGCTGGAGGGGCGAAGGTGCTCACGAAACTGGGGCCAGCCTCCAGAGAAAGCTGGTCAGGAAACCCTGGCCCCGCTCGCTGGGAGGAGGTTCCTGAGCTTTGGAGTCCCGAGACGGTGCGGTGACGCACCGTGCGGTGACCTCGAAATCCCCCAAGGCCTCACCGCACGGTCCGTCGCCGCACGGTCTTGGGACCGGGAGGCCCCCCCCACGTCGCCCGAGACGTCCTCGGAGAAGGACTCGAGTCCCAAAACCTTGCGGTGACCCCGAATCCCCACCGACTCACCGCACGGTGTGGTCACCATCCCGTTTGGGGGCCCCCGATCTTAGCGGGCCCTGGAAACGACAGGGCAGTTTTTGTTACCGGTTCCGTTTTGCCGTTTTTTCGCCAGTTCCGACGCCGTTTTTTACCTGTTCCGTCGCCGTTGTTTGACCGGTTCTGGCTCCGGTTCCAATCCTGGAGCCGTTTGTTTGCCGTTTCCGGTCGCCGTTTTTTTGCCGTTTCCATCTTCAAGGGACAATATTCTGGAAACGGTGGAAAAACGGCCCTGCCGTTTCCGAGGCCCACAAAGCCCTGATTAACCAAATGCTCCAGCAGGGGGGCCCGGCCCACGGAGAGAGAAACACTGGCTGGGCATCCTCCTGGATCTCCGACGATCTGTGGCTCTCGGTCCGGGCGTTTTTTCTTTGGACTTCTGCGCGGACCTCGCGGAGGTCTCTGCACATGTAACGCGATAGATGCCCACTGCGTCCCCGACAGCGGAGCCGAGCGTATCTGGGTGGCATGGGGCACCTGCTTCGTCTGCCTGGGTCTCCTCCTTCCCGGCCTTGGCACAGTTCCCTCGATACCGTGTCGAAGGGCGGTCGAGACCTTGCTGCATGCGTAACACTCACGCAGGGGACCTACGCATACGCTCTGCACTGCACCTTCGCGAGCGCATTGACGTTGAAACCCCCATGCAGATGTCCTGTCCTGTCCTGTCCTCCTCCTCCTCGGACGCAGCGCTCTGTCTGTCACCCGTTCTCGCCGCTGGGCTCCCTCTAGACGGTGGAACAATCAGACATGTGGGGCGGGGCAGCCAGGCCCAGACTGGCGATGCGGGGGCGACTGGGGAGCGATGCTCCCCCTCGCCCGGGACCAGTCCCGCCCCGCCGTTGCCCCTGGTCCCCCGTCCTCGGGTCGGACCAGGGGGGAGAGGTCAGCCAGGGGAGGGACAAAGCGCGACTCAGCTCGCGTGTAGCTCGTTCTCCCGGCGCCCTCCAAGGGTAGAGGCGCGCCAGAGCAATGCGCCTGGCGGCCGGGCCGAAGTCAGCTGCATGCCGCAGATTTCGCACTTAGCGGATCGTTCGGCGGGGACCGTAGCAGGGGGGAAACATCGACATGGAATCGGAATCGGTGATATCAGCGATGGGCCCCCCGATCGAAAATCCCAACGCTCTTGGGCAGGATGGGGCTACCGGCCCCCAGCATCAAATCGGCGCTCTCTCCTCGATTGCCCGCAGCTGGCGCACACGAGTGCACTCTACAGAGACGAAACGGCGAGAGTGTGCAAGCTCCCACGAGTTGCCACCGAAGCGGATCGTCCGACCTCAGAGCCTCGTTCCGCGACTCCGCAGGGTGTGGTTTGCAGAGGGTGTGGTCTGCCAGTGGTCTGCAACTGGCACCCTGGGAGGCACCCTGTGGGGCGGGCGGGGACCTCGACAGAGCTCTCCGCCGCGCCCCGAAGAGGCCCGGCGAGAACAGCGTCGTGCCCCCAAAGCCCCAATGGCACCGATCGCAAACCACACCCCGGCGCAACCTGGAGGAGGAGGAGGAGGAGGAGGAGGAGGAGGAGGAGGAGGAGGAGGAAAAGGATGAGGAGGAGGAGGAGGAAAAGGAGGAGGAGGAGGAAAAGGATGAGGACGGGGGAAAGGAGAAAGGAGGGAGAAGGAGGAGGAGGAGGGAGGAGAGGAGGAGGAGGGGAGGAGAGGAGGAGGAGGGGAGAGGAGGAGGAGGAGGAGGGAGAGGGAGGAGGAGGAGGAGGAAGAGGTGGAGGAGGAGGAGAGCGCTGGTCGCCGACTCGTCCTGGCGCCCCGCCCCGCCTCGAAGGGCAGCGTGCACAGCCAATTCATCTGCTTGACGGCCAGCGTGCGCAAGAGGCGTTGCAGGCCAGGCATGCGCAGGCTGCGCTGCAGGCCGAGGAGCGAGTGCCACAGCCTCGAGGCGGGGCGCGCAGGCCCCTGCCGGAGAGCCGCCCGCCGGCCCACGCCTCCTCCGCGCAGGGAGGAGCGCCCAGGCTCTGGGGGCCCTGCAGCGCCCGTGGGCAGGGAGGGAGCCCGTCGCGGGAACCTCCGTCCGTCCGTCTGGGCGCTCCTCCTCCTCCTCCTCCTCCTCCTCCTCCTCCTTCTCCTCCTCCTCCTCCTGGCCTCATCGGCCCTCCTCCTCCGCCTCATCCTCATTATCCTCTTACCCTTCCTCCTCCTCCTCCTCCTCCTCCCCCACCACCTCCCTCCTCCTCCTCCCTCTCCTCCCCCTCTCCTCGTCCTCCTCCTCCCCCTCCTCCTCCTCCTCCTCCTCCTCCTCCTCCTCCTCCTCCTCCTCCTCCTCCTCCTCCTCTTGGCTTCCTCCCCCTGGGCGGCAACTCCGCTGATGCGTCAGCTCCTCCCTCTCCTCCTCCTTCTCCTCCGCTTCCTCCTTCTCGCTCTTCTGCTCCTTCTCCTCCTCCTCCTCCTCCTCCTCCTCCTCCTCCTCCTCCTCCTCCTCCTCCCTCACTCCTCCCTCACCTCCTCCTCCTCCTCCTCTCTCTCTTTCTCTCTCTCTCTCTCTCTCTCTCTCTCTCTCCCTGTTCCTCCCACGAGGACCACACAACAAACAAGAGCATCGATCCTCGAGCCTCCAACAACGGTGGGCGGAGGGCGCCGCGAGGGAAGCAGAGGGAGACGGGCGGGGAGGGAGGAGGACCAGAGGAGCACGGAGCCACTGGCACGCCACAGATGCCCGGCGCCCTCCCGAGGGGCAACGATCACTAGCGAGGGACCGGCTCCGCGGAGGCGCGCCCCTGACCCGACCGTGCAACACCGCCACCTTGTAGCATACGGCGAGGGGAGGGAGGAGGAGGGAGGAGGAGGAGGAGGAGGAGGAGGAGGAGGAGGAGGAGGAGGAGGAGGAGGAGGAGGAGGAGGAGGAGGAGGAGGAGGAGGAGGAGGAGGAGGAGGAGGAGGAGCGGAGGAGGGCGGAGGAGGGCGGCATATGGCCAGAAAACACCCACCGCGAAGCTTACTTTGGAGTCCCGAAACGGTGCGGTGACGGACGCACCGTGCGGAGACCTCGACATCCCCCAGGGCCTCACCGCACGGTCCGTCGCCGCACGGTCTCGGGACCCGGGAGGCCCCCGTCGCCCGAGACGTCCTCGGAGAGGTACTCGAGTCCCAAAACAGTGCGGTGACCCCGAATCCCCACCGACTCACCGCACGGTGTGGTCACCACACTGTTTGGGGGCCCCCGACTTGCACCAGTAGATGTCTCGGCGCGCGCGTCGCCCCCGGGGGGGCGACGCGCTCACGGGCTCAGTATCCCTGGCTGATGCCCGGCCCCACGGGGGGAGACGTCGAGCTCGACGAACTCGGCGATGGGCCCCCCCGTGACACAAAACCGCACGCTCTTTCGGCAGGGTGGGAGGTTATTGGGCCCCTCTACCGACGATCAGCGGGCGACCCGAGGTCGACGCGGCCCCTGAGGCTGTCCCCCCCTCCTCCTCCTCCTCCTCCTCCCCCTCTCCTCCCCCTCCTCCTCCTCCTCCCCCTCCTCCTCCTCCTCCCCTCCTCCCCCTCCTCCTCCTCCTCCTCCTCCTCCTCCTCCTCCTCCTCCTCCTCCTCCTCCTCCTCCTCCTCCTCCCCCTCCTCCTCCCCATTTTTTGGAAAAACAGACCCATGACGTGGCCCCGCCGGTGTCGGGCCCCGCGTCGGCTCCCCGGAGGACCCTGGAGGTCACCCCATGCACCCCAGAGCGGCCCTCGACGAGGCGCAGCCCTGAAGAGCCTGCTGGGACTGGAGGACGCCGAACCTCGAAACCTCGAACCTCGAACCTCGAAACGCCGAACCTCGAAACCTCCAGACAACTCTCGAGAGAACTCCAGAACACCGAAGCCAGGCTGCAAAACGCTGGGGCCCAGAAGAAAACTCCAGAACGCATCGAGCCTCGAAACCTCGGAGAGCCTCGGACCTCGAAGACCGCCGGGAACCCACGAGAACGCCCGGAAGAGCCTCGAACCTCTGGCCTCGAAGCTTCGTCCCCCCCTGCGCCTCTTCTGCTCAAGCGTTGCCCCCCTGAGCCCAACCACAGCCGGCCTTGATTGGACAGGGCACGCGAGAGGACACAAAACCTGTGGGCCCCGGAAACGGCAGGGCCGTGTTTTCACCGTTTCCGAAAAAGTGTCCCTTGAGAATGGAAGCGGCAAAAATTAACGGCGACCGGAAACGGCAACAAGAACGGCTCCGGGATTGGAACCGGAGCGGGAACCCGTGAACAAACCGCGACAAAACCGGTAAAACAACGGCGTCGGAACCGGCAACAAAAACGGCAAAACGGAACTGGTAACAAAAATGGCCCTGTCATTTTCAGGGCCCTCTAAGAGCCTAACTACAGTCGGCCTTGATTGGACAGGGCACGCGAGAGGACACAAGACCCTTCCGAGGGCCACATCGCCATGGGAGTGTAAGAAGGCGCGTGTCGCGAGGCACAGGACACAAGGGCACCCTTGAGCTGGCAGGGTCGACCTACCAATCCGGGCCGACTGTAGCATCGAGACAGGCCTCCCCGGTGAGGCCTGATAATAGCATGGGGTCGGAAAGCCGCGTCGCATCGCCAGCGCATCGCCGATGCATCAGGATTGCATCCGCGCTGTCGGCGTGGAGAAGACCGAGCTTTATGTTGCTCCCATCGCACTTAAGGGCTACATCCCAGAAATAATTTCTAGCACCCAGAAGAGTGTCGAATCAGTGTCGAAGGAGTGTCGCCTCCCAGGGCCCGATACGTGAAACCCCTCACATTTCGGTACGCTCTTGGTGCTCGAAAGTCTTTCTGGTGATCAAGGCAAAAGTAGGTTGGAACATCATCGACCGAGCTCCGCAGCGAGCCGCCTCGCCGATGCATCATCATAAGCATGCGGCGCGACTCTCCAACGCCACTTGCTTGTGCTCGCGGCCACCCCCCCCACTCTGGCAGGCCTGGGACTGTCCCCGGGGTGCGTCTGCCCCGGACGCCCGCGCCCCATAGCGTTCGGTCGGGCATGTCCTCCTCGAGGCGGATTTTGGAGGAACAGTTTAAAATGGGCCGAATGCTGAATACGGGTCAATCGATAATAAACACACCGTCCCCAGGCTTTTTTTAATATACAAAAAGAACTAATTTTGATCATTCCCCCTGCAGAAGGCCACGCCCGACTTCACCCTCGCGCGGAGCCAGAAGTTGAGGCTGTGCACCGCCTCCTTCACGAGCGTCCCGCTCAGCCCTGGCCGCCGCGGGGCGCGCCGGGGAGCGCGGCGCGCGCGCCTTCCCGCCCCCCCCCCCCCCCCGGGCGGGGAGGGGGGGGCGCGGAGGGCACCCGCCCAGATCTCCGATCGGGTGTTCGACGAGGGTGGGGCAGGCACGGCGGGGGGGGCAGGGCGAAGCGACGTGCGCTCGTCGTGCGCACTGCGGGCCCAGAGCTCTCCGACGGGGTGCTCGATGCGAAAGCGACGTGCGCTCGTCGTGCGCAGTGTGGGCCCAGGTGTCTCCGATCGGGTGTTCGATGCGAGCGCGACGTGCACTCGGCGTGCGCATTGTGGGCCCAGGTCTTTCCGATCGGGTGCTCGATACACGGGGGGCAGTACACGGGGCTGCGGAGAGACGCGCACCTGCCGTGCACCTTTTGGGCCCCGAGCTTCGATTGGGTGTCCGGCAAGGGGGGGGGCCGTACACACGTGGGGCGGCGAGACGTGCACTTGTCTCGTGCACATCGTGGGCCTGCGCGGCGGCAGTTCTTCCCCCTGTAGGGCCGCTCTCCTGCCATCCTCCATTCCCCCCCCCGTTTCCATTGCCCCCCCATTGACGTCCGCCCGACTCCGACGATGTTGTGTGTTCCCACCTCTCGGGGATGGACAGACCCCCCTTTAGTAAAACGTGGTTTGGTGAGAACGACCTGAGGCCCAGACCTGGCGGGCGCAAGCCTGGAAAATAACGGCCACGGCGCCCTCTCGAAAACCGGAAACGGACAATTCACTAATCGACGTGTCACTGTTGGGGGTTCTGTCCGCCCCCGAATCTCGGCGTGGCTCCTCGGTTTTGGCCCCAGGGGGCCCGTCGCCGGGCCACGGGCCACGAGACGTGGGCCGGGGGCGAGGAGAGCTCTCCCCCGGGAATAAAGGGGCCTTCTGCCTGGATGGGGCTTACCAGCCTGGAGCATATCCCTATCCCTATGCTGGGCACCTCCTCGTCACGATGCCAATCTCAGGGGTTCCCTTCTTTTTTGAGTGCGAATCCCCAAGATTGTCATCGCATCTTGGCGTGTCGATCTCAGGGATGGGGATAAGTTCGAGGCTGGTAAGGGAGGCTGGTAAGGGGTCCGAATAGGATGGGGTCGGAAAGTCGCGCCGCCTCACCAGCGCATCGCCGATGCATCGGCGGCGTCGGTGATGCATCGACGACGTCGGCGTGGAGAGAATCGGCTTGCACATCGAGCCGCATCGCCGATGCATCGGCGATGAGGCGCCATCCTCCGACCCCATTTGCTCCGAATCCATCGATCGGCGGAGAGCGAGAGGGGGAACCGAAAAAGATGAGGTCTTCTCAGAAGGGTCGGAAATCCCCCGGCCTTCTAAAAAGTTTCCTAGGCCTTGCCCGAAGACAAACAAAAACTTCTCACAAGCCGCGAGGGCTTCTGAGAAGTCCCGCCGCCTGCGGAGAAGCCCTTTTCCTTGTCATTTCCCCGCTTCGCTCGCCGCCGAACCTGGGAGGCCCAGACGGAAGGGATCGGGACCTCTGGGGCCCCAGCATGGAGCAAAGCACAGTAAGGACTCTCTGCAAGGGCGCAAGACCCTCGGACTGTCCTTGTGGAGGCTTTCCCAGCGGCGGGCTGACGAAAACATCGAAGAATCTGGGTTCTACCCGTCCTTACAAATTATTTTCACGGTGTGCCTTATGCAAAGGTCGTCAGGGGGGGACGGGGGCTCAGGGTTACGTCGGGCGTGTCCTCCTACATGGGGATTTGGGAGGAAAAAGGAAAAATCCCATCCCCCCCAAATACTCCCAAGATTTTCAAAAATCATCCAGAGTCGTCCCGAGACTATTTTTTTACGATTCTTGAATGTTCCTCCTGTAGAGAGACAGGCCCGACTTAAGCTTGTGATTCTAAAAGACTCGCTAAGGTCTCAAAGGGTCCCCGCGGAGACCCTCGGTCACTCTCTCTGCTTCTCTCCCCCGTGCTTTCTATTGCTGCTCAGCTGTCCCTCTGCCGCTGCCCAGTTGACCCTATTAATTTTCACAGCACTTGGTCAATTGAGCTGCGAGCACGCTCAGCGAACGAGAGATAAATCATAGATCCGCGATCTTCCATATCACAGTGGTAGCTTGGAGCGTTGTTCGCTATCCTCGGCTCGCGGGGCCGCCCACAACGACGACGTCCGCAACGTTATCATCCATATTGGGATCGGAAACCAGCGTCGTCCTGGTGATCTGCGACACACAGCTGCTGCGCAGCACACACGCCAGCGTCCGCGACGCTTGCACCGACGCCAGCGACGTCGACCACTGCTCAACTCCCAGCGTCTGCGACGCCAACTTCCACCTCTCCAGCGTCTGCGACGCCAACTTCCACCTCTCAAGCGTCTGCGACGCCACCTACTTCCACAACACCAGCGTCTGCGACGCCGACTACTTCCTCAACTCCAGCGTCTGCGACGCCGACTACCTCCCCGACCCCAGCGTCTGCGACGCCACCGATATCCTCGGCCACGCCAGCGTCCGCGACGCCAGCGACAACGTCAACGACGCTAACCAGGACGACAGCAGCTGCATCCTAATTGACAGCGCGATGGCCGATCAAGATCAACGCGGTGAACGGTCTGTTACTCCCAGCTGGAATGGTGATCCATCCAAATGGCGTGACTACAGGCAGGAGGTTAAACCCTGGAAGCTCAGCGAGAACCTGAAGGTTTCCAGGTGTTTGGCATCAGCCCTAGTTCTGAAGATGACGGGCACCGCGCACGCCGCAGCGCTCAACATGGACGAGAATCTGACCCACCCACCTGGCGACGATGCGATCCAGGACACCGCCGAGTGGAGGAAGGACCGCAAAGCGAGAGGGATCAGCAATGTGCTGACCCACCTCGAGGCCTCGCTCGGTCAGCAGAAACCGATACAGAAGGGCGAGACACTCTGAAAGTTGTTCGAGAGTACTCAACATCATCGCCGCCGCGGCGAACGAATGACCGACTGGCTCGTCAGGTTCGACCGCGGACTACGACAGCTGCGCGAGCACGACGTCGACCTCACACAGCTTGACGACGTGGCTGGGTGGTTCCTCCTGCGCAAGGCAGGGCTCAGCGCCCAGCGACGCGAGAGGGTCATCGGCAACCTGCCCGACGAGCACTACAGCTTGGCGACGATCAAGAATCTCTTGATCCGCATGTTCCCAGACATCCAGGTCCAGGAGCGAAACCATCCCCACACCTCCGAAGCCCGGCAACTGGCAGCAGTCCTGCTCCCCCGACTGGCCAGGGAGACCACGTCATCGAGGAGGGCGCTCTGCCAGCGCGGTGGACGAGCCCAAGGAGGAAGACGAGGACCACACCGACGGCAAAGATGAGGAGGAGGACACGCAGGACCTGTCGGGTCGGGCGAAAGGGGGGATAGCAAAGGGGGGGTTTGAGAATCAGCTCACGTAGCTGATTTTCTCGGCGCCTCCCGGCGCCAGACGCGGCTATGTATCGAGGAATGGGCCCCTCGGTGAGGCCGAAACCAGCTGCATGCAGCAAATTTCGTAACCCCCCCTTTCCCAATCCCCCCCTTTCGCCCGGCCCGAACCTGGCGCGCCACGAGCTCGAGGCCTTCAGCGCGGAGCTCGAGGCATCCGGCCTGGACGTCTCCGAGGCGTTCGACCACAGCCACACCGCCATGCCGGAGGCGGCCGCCGGGGAGTTCGCCCACATCCCCGAGGCCATGGCCGCGATCCGAGCCGCTCGCGATGCCATCGACGGCAGGGACGGCGGCCGTGGCGGGCGCGGAACCGCGCCGAAGCGCGGTTTCCAGCGTGGCAAGCTCAGAAGAGCGTCGACCAGCGGCAGAAGGGCTCCATCTTCTGGGACTGCGGCCAACCTGGCCACTGGACGGGCGACAGCGGCTGCCCGACCCCCGGGGCCCGCAAGCACGCCCCCACGCCGAAGGCCAAGGGGCGGGGCGGCAGAGGTCGCCAGGACCGCTCGGCTCAGATCACGGAGCTCGATGACGACGGCGAGACGCCCCTACGCCCTGAAGGACCAGTTACGCCGCCGCACGAGCCGGAGAGCCTCGTGTCCGAGCGGGGCGTGCCGGACCTACCAAGCGCCAGCAACACCGACTCAGGTAAGCTCGTCGCTGACGAGGGCCTCGGCGTGGTGAACACTGCCTTGGGCCCGGCGGTGGGGCCGAAACCAGCTACATGCAGCAGATTTCGTACCCCCCCCTTTCCCACCCCCCCCCCTTTCGCCCGACCCGAGAGAGGTGCCCATACCGCTAATCCACGGACCTCTCCCGGGGCGCGTTCTGACCAGAGTCTCGAGGCGAAGCCACCGGCGGCGACGAGGGCCTCCGAGGAGGCCCGAAGAGAGGAACAAACGGGCGGAGGGTAGCGTTAGGTCGGGCATGTCACCCTACAGGAGGACTTTGGACTAACAATGAAACTGACACAAAAATTCAAAATATTCAAATATTAACAACAAAAGAACTGCCAAACATATTCAAAAATTGTTTAAACCAATATCCTGGAGAAAGACCCAACCACACGCAAGTGTAAGAACCGCATGGCAGGTGTGACGAAGCAAACAGAATTCCCAATGGGGCTACGAACCGCGTGAGGGGTGCGCCATAATGGGGCGGGGCCGCCGTGCGAACCCTGCCACAGGAGCCTTCGGTGGAGCCCCGACATGGGGCCACGAACCGTGTGAGAGGTGCGCCAAAATGAGGCGGGGCCGCCATGCGAACCCTGCCACTGGGGCTTTCGGTGGAGCTCCCTGTGGGGCCCCAAACCGTGTGAGAGGTGCGCCACAATTCTGCTGGGCCGCCATGCGAACCCTGCCACTGGGGCTTTCGGTGGAGCTCCCTATGGGGCCACGAACCGTGTGAAGGGTTCGCCAAAAAGGGACGGGGCCGCCATGCGAACCCTGCCACCGGGGCCTTCGGTGGAGCTCCCTATGGGGCCACGAACCGTGCGAGGGGTGCGCCAAAATGAGGCGTGGCCGCCATGCGAACCCTGCCACTTGGGCCTTCAGTGGAACTCCCGATGGGGCCACGGACCGTGTGAGGGGTGCGCCATGCGAACCCTGCCACCGGGGCCTGCGGTGGAGCTCCCTATCGAGGCCACGAACCGTGTGAGAGGTGCGCCAAAATGAGGCGGGGCTGCCATGCGAACCCTGCCACTGGGGCCTTCGGTGGAGCTCCCTGTGGGGCCACGAACCGTGCGATGGATGAGCCAAAATAAAGCGGGGCCGCCATGCGAACCCTGCCTCTGGGGCCTTCGGTGGAGCTCCCTATGGGGCCACGAACTGTGTGAGGGGTGCGCCAAAATGAGGCGTGGCCGCCATGCGAACCCTGCCACTGGAGCCTTGGGTGCCGCGAACTGAATGAAGGGTGCGCCGCAACGCGGGGCCGCCATGCGAACCCTGCCACTGGGGCCTCCGGTGGAGCTCCCCATTGGGCCACGAAGCGTTGCACTGGGTGGGCGAAACGCAGGGAGGAGGGGGAGGAGGGAGGAGGGGGAGGAGGAGAGGAAGGGGAGAGGAGAGGAGGAACGCGGGGACCGTCTCTTCACAGCGAGGGCGCAACATCACAGGGTGGCTGGGAGATCATCGAAGCATCGTCCTCAGACTATGTTTGGACTCTTTCTGGATGTTCCCCCTGTAAAAGGACAGGCCCGAAGTCCTCGCCAGGTGCCAGGGGCTGCGCTCCCCGCCCGGCTGGGCTGCCCCCTCGGCCCTTCCTCCGCTGGAGCCTCGCCCTCGACTCCTCCTCCTCCTCCTCCTCCTCCTCCTCCTCCTCCTCCTCCTCCTCCTCCTCCTCCTCCCCTTCCCCCTCCTCCGCCTCTCCTCCTCCTCCCCGATCCTCCTCCTCCTCCTCCTCCTCCTCCTCCTCCTCCTCCTCCTCCTCCTCCTCCCCATCCTCCTCCTCCTCCTCCTCCTCCTCCTCCTCCCCCTCCTCCTCCTCCTCCTCCTCCTCCTCCTCCTCTGGCGCCCTCTTCGCAGCGCGAGCCTGCCTTGGTGCCCCCTCGCGGCGCCCATGCGGAAGGCGCCCCCCCCCCCGAGGGGCGGCGAGCGGCGGCCTCGGTAGAGTCCGAGGAGCCCGTGCCTGGCGGCGGCGGCAGCGCCGGGAGGAGGAGGACCGAGGAGGATCGAGGAGGAGGAGGAGATCGAGGAGGAGAGGAGGAGGAGGAGGAGGAGGAGGAGGAGGGAGGGGGAGGAGGGGGAGAAGAGGAGGAGAGAGGGAGGAGAGGAGGAGGAGGAGGAGGAGGAGGAGGAGAGGAGGAGGAGGAGGAGGAGGAGGAGGAGGAGGAGGAGGAGGAGGAGGAGGAGGAGGAGGAGGACGAGGAGGAGGAGAGGAGGAGGAGGGAGGGAGGAGGAGGAGGGAGGAGGAGGAGGGGAGGAGGAGGAGGAGGGAGGGAGGAGGAGGAGGAGGAGGAGGAAGGAGGAGGAGGAGAGGGAGCAGGAGGGGGGAGGGAGGAGAGGGAGGGGGAGGAGGAGAAGGGGGGGGGGGGGGGGGGGGGGCGGGGCGCGGCGGCTGCGCGCGTCGAGCGCACGGGCGGCAAGTCGACATCGCAGATACGCTCACGTCGTGAAGCAATTATCCAAGCCCCCTGCGCACGGGGCATTAATAATCGGCGGTGGACAAACCTCCCTTTAGCAAACCTCCCCTTAGTGAAAGCGGCCTGGGACCGAAACCGACGGACCTGGACCCGCAAAAAGGACGGCCGCGACGCCCTCGCGCGGACCGAAAACTGCCAATTCGCTAGTCGACGTGTCAGGGTAGGTTAGGAGGCAACCACTGGGAGGTTTTCGTCGGAAAAATGAATGAAGATTAAGCCCATTTGGGAGCTGCTACGCCAGAATGGGCCTCGGACTAAGCAAGACCAAGCCGGATTAAGCGGGATTAAGCGGGATTAAGCCGGATTGCGCGGAATTGAGCCGGATTAAGCCGGATTTCGGACCAGGGCTAGATCAGAATTTGACCTCCCAGGAGTTGCATCCGAAGGTAGGAGGTGTATCAACCCCCGAACTTCTGGGAGCCTGTGCTGAAAGAGTCGAGGCGTCCTCGTGCCGTGGGCCACGGGCGCGCGCCGGGAAGCGCGAGGACTTCCGGAGGCGGCTCCCGGGGTGGGGTCCTCGCGCGGACGACGGAGGGCTCCTGGGCCCGAGACCTCGCCGTCGCTCGAACGTCCATACCACGGGCATGCTGCGGCTTCGTGCGTGCACTGCTTCGCAAGGGGAAGAAACATGATCCTCCGATTCCAGCACACGTCCGAGCGATGGCATCGCTCGGACGTCGCCGCAGTCGGCAGCTCTGAGTGGCTCGGCTTCCTCTCCCTCTGTCGCGCCGGGGCTCCTCCTCCTCTTCCGTGCAGTGCGGCCTTAATGTGCACACAGCGTGTCCCCTGTTGCCATTCCGCCGGAGCAGTCACCCTCTGCCCAGCTGCCGAGAGAAGGGGGCCATGAAGCCGGACTATATAGCCCAAGTCGGGTCCAGGATTTGGCCAGACCGGGCCAGACGAAGCGGGGTGGAGAGGAACCGCGCAGGAGTGTACCAAATTCGGCAGGTCTTCGACCACGCATCTGCCATCACCGATACGGAATCTTTCGCCTTCACGAAGTGCGTCCAAAAAGAGCCCTGAGCGGGCCCGAACAAATCCAATACTGTTTCCAAAGGGCCCCCCAGAGAGGCCGATAGTGGATCCAAGAGGCCTCAGGATTATCCCAAGTTGGACGATGTTGGGGGATGATCGGGGAGATCCCTGCTTGTGTTTGGCAAGTGTCCCCGTCTTTGCTTCACTAATACCTCTCCACTTCCCTTCTCAAGGCATTGTTCGGAAACCGTTTCTGGATGGGTTGACGGAGATGTGTCAAGGGGTATGCGCTGATTGTTGCTACAGCTTGGCGTTACAACGAAATGATCAAAGTGCAAAGTTGTACTCCCTGAGACGGGCCGAAGGTAATTACGAGCACAGCACTAGCATGGTCGATGCGGAGACTCGAACGATCAGCTTCAAATACACATTAGAGCAAGATGCTCAGAAATTCTCTTTGATGTGCTGATGATGCTCTTAGCGTTGGCCCCGAGCAAGTGAGAGAGGAACGCCTTGAATTATGAGTCTTTCTTCTCCACCCCGCCCATGCCAGGCTTCAAGCAGCATCCGAGATGCTCAACCCTTGTGCCTGCCATCGCTTTCATGTGCGGAGCCCCGGTCCTCTGAACGATGCGCAGCGTGGTGCCCACGAAGCCAGCGGTGTCGCTAAGCGGGGCAGTCTGCACGTGGACCTTGACGGTCTCCACGGGGAAGAACACGGCCGCCGCCTGACTGGCCCAAGACATGACAATCAGAGGTGCCCTTACGCACACACACACACATGCACACCATGGACGCACTTTGTCCCCCCCTTCTCCCGCGGCAGCGAAGGATCGGAGGGACCTGGAATGACGGGGCACGTCAACTCAAATTGCAATCGTCTGCGTGTGTGAATCGCGCTCGAACCAAATACGTGCTTTCTCGGCTTGGAGTGTGTCTACATCTATACAAACAACATGCGTGGGCAACGCGCCCCACCAACCCACCCATCACACAAGACACACACACACACGAATTAGTGGCATCCTCTCTGCTACCCTTTGTCTGAAGACTGCCAATGATACGCGTGTCTGTCATGAACAAACCCCCTTCATATCGACAAGACATGCGGAACAAGCTCCCTGAGGGAGCCCAGGCCACATCCGACAGGCGCACCTCCCCTCACGTAGCAACGCGGTCCTCGCTCGACGGGGCGCACCTGTTGGCCCGAACTGTGGCGAGGATACAATCGGCGTGGTTGGCCAAAAGACCCCTGTCACAAAATGCTGGCTGGCCATGCCGTGTGGGGTGTTCCGCCTGCACCCTGGCACCTACGGTCGGATACTTTTGCGTACCGTGTCGTGGCGGCGCCGTCGGCGGCACGCGATGCTCTGCGAGAGGATAACGTGCCGCTCCGCTCCGCAGGACAACTGTCTGGGAGACGTTCGGGGCGTTGGCGCTTGGGGATCGCGACGCGGATAGCGTGACGCGCCGAGGAGTCGCGGGCAAAGAAAGAGCGGGCCGACACGCTACGTAAGAGCTCCTGACCGCAGGGGAAGAGGAGGATACGCATACTCGCAGACTGTCGCACACACACACCACCCACACACACACACACACACACATGTTGTTCCCCCGATGCGGAGGTGGAGCAACCTCGGGTGCAGCCAAGAGGGACCACGTCCCAAGCTAATTTACCTTTTTGTGTGGCGACATGCGCGAAGCTGGACAGCCCTGCAGAAGCACAAACACACAAAAGCCTAGTACCGTGCGGCGTACCCAGCCCACCTGCATCACGTGAAACAAATAACTGGCACACATGGCTATGGATGGCCACCATACCCACGTGTTGTGCAAGACGCATTGGATACCCGCGCGCGGCACGACTCACATGACACCTGTACGAGGACGCGGGGTGATGTCCCAAGCTCGAAGAGGACCAAAGGGGGGTCGAGAAGTCATCGATGAGCAGCACAGGGAGGACGACGACGACGACGGAGGCGGGATGACAAAGCTATGTTTTCGCCTGGGTCGATCATTGGCAGCGGCGCCGACACCATGTCGCATTGGCGTCCCGAGTGGTCGGCTGTGAAATCGGCCACCGTGCCCACTAACACGTTGAGGCGTGGAAGGATTCCAAGGTCTGCCAGGTGATGGGGTTTTTATTCCCCTCCTCCCTACTCGCAGACGGTCTGGAAGAGGAAGAGGAGGAGGAGGAAGGGGGGCCCGCCAGCATGAAGAGGAGGAGGAGGAGGAGGAGGACAAGGACCGGAGGGGGGGGGGGGAATCGAGGAGGATCGAGGAGGGTAGGATCGAGGAGGATAATCGAGGATCGAGGAGGAATCGAGGTAGATGACGAGGGGATCGAGGATAATCGAAGTGGAGGGATCGGTGAGGAGGATCGAGGAGAAGGAGGACGAGGAGAAGGATCGAGGAGGAGGATCGAGGAGGAGGCTCGAGGAGGAGGAGGAAATCAAGGAGGATCGAGAAGGAGGGGGGGGGGCCGCCAGCATCGAGCCCAGCATGCCGCTCAGCGTGTGCAGGAGCACTGCGCGGCGCGGGGGCGGCGGCAGCGGCGCGGTCTCGTCGGCCTGCTGCCGCGGGGGGGGGGCGGGGGCGTCCCCCCACCACAGACGGGGCCTGTTGAGGACAGGGAGGGCGAGAAGGACGAGGAGGAGGAGGGGAGAGCAGGAGGAGGAGGAGGAGGAGGAGGAGGAGGAGGCGGATGGGGGAGGAGGAGCGGAGATTCGAAGGGAGAGGGAGATGGGCGAGGAGCGAGGCGGAGCCAGAGCGAGGCGGTGAGGAGTCAGAAGGTCTGCGACGGCGACTCTCCCTCCTCCCCCGCCCTGCAGCTGTCCGGGAGATCTGCCGCACCCTCCGCGAGCTGTTGTGCTTCTGTTTCTACCTACGCACAAGCTGTGCAACGCACTGTACCTTTGGTTTCTGATTTTGGACGCCCGAAATGGGTACGGAAAAAATGGGCACACTGCCCAACAACAGATGTTGCCCCAAACCATCAGCGGCCGCTGCTGGATAGGCGGCCTTCTGTCTCAAATGGACACAGGCCGCGGCGGCGCGGACAGCGAGTCCTGCTCAAAACGAACAAGAGCTGCTGTTGGGCATTGTACCCGTTCTTGCCGTACCCTTTCGTTCGTGCCGACCGATGTGGTCTGCAACCCGATGGTCTCCGGTGTTTCAGCATGGCGTGCCCGCTGCAGCGCGGGCCTCGTTCTCGGATCTCGGCGCTCCGTTCCCGTCGTTCCGTTCCCGTCGGTCTCGCCCCAGCGTGGGCCACGCTTCCGGCTCCGGGTCGTGGTCCCCGCCCGCCTTTTGCCCCGCGTCGGCCCGCCCCCGGCCCATTCCTTGCCTCCCCCTCCTGTCCGCTGCACTTCCCGCTGCTGCTGTTCGCCCTCCTCCCATTTCCTCCCCCTCATGATGGGCCTGCTTTCCACCACCACCACCACCACCACCACCACCACCACCACCACCACCACCACCACCAGTTGGAGAGGGGGATACTGGTCCTCCTCCCCCTCTTCTGCTTCCTCCTCCTCATCCTCCACCTCCTCCCCCCCTCCAACTTATGGTGGTGGTGGTGGTGGAAAACAGGCCCGTCACCTCATCCTCCTGCTCAAACGCCAGCTCCTCCTCCTCCTCCTGTGCGCGCAACTGCCGTTTTTCCGCTTGCGCAGAACCCGAAATGGTCTCTGCGTGGGAATCGCAGGTCAGCTATGAAACGCGTCCGCGGGTTGAGAAACGTCGGAGTCACGGGACGGGATGGGAGGAATGGTAGGACGTCATGTCAGATCCTAGCTTGTCCTCCCGCCTCATCCTGCATCCCTCGGGCTCCGTCTCGCTCCTCGCTCTTCGCCACTCTCCCCTCCTCTCTCCCCCACTTCTCCTCCTCTCCCCTCGTCCTCCTTTTCCTCCCCGTCCTACTCGTCCTCTTCGTCCTCCTCGTCCCCGTCCTCGTCCTCGTCCTCGTCCTCGTCGTCCTCGTCCTTCTCCTCCACCACCTCCCCTCCCTCCACTTTCACGCCTGCGCAGAGACTCCCTCGCGCCATGACAAAAAAAACATGACAAACCATCTTCAACAAATGTCGGCCTCTGGGAGCCCCGGGCGAGCGCTAGGCACCGTCCACAAAACTGCTCAGGCCGGAGAGCGGGTCCCGAGGAAAAGGGTCAACACCTCGAGGGGCCCGTGTGGTGAAGAAATTACTACATTGGGGGAACGGCCTGGGTCCTCCTCGAACTCCTCCTCCTCCTCCTCCTCCTCCTCCTCCTCCTCGATCCTCATCCTCCTCGGTCCTCCTGCTCCTCCTCCTCCTCCTCCTCCTCCTCCTCCTCCTCCGCCTCCTACTCCGTCCTCGTCCTCCGCCTCCTCCTCGATCCTCCTTCACCTCCACGTCCTCCTCCTCCTCATCCTCCTTCTCCCTCCTACTTCCCTATCCTCTTCATCCTCCCTTTCCTCCTCTTCCTCCCTCCGCCTCCTCAAAGCTCCTCCCACCTCCTCCTCTTCCTGCTCCCTCCTCCCCCCCCTCCTCCACCTCTCTCCTCGTCCTCCCTTCCTATTCCTCGTCATCCTCCCTTTCCCTTTTCCTTCTCCTCCTCCTCCCTCCTCCACTTTCTCCCCCCTCATCCAGAATCCTCATTACTCCGGTGTCCGCTAGAAAAAATGTTTCTCTGGCCGTAGCCTGTGGTATTTGGTCGTGTCTCTTGGTCTTTGGTGGTGGTCTCTGGCCGTGGCTTGTATCCTCCTGCATGGCCATCTTTGGCCTCCAACTGTACCGTGGTGCTGCTCACAGGTCGAATATAGCATCGGCGGGCCCATTTCAACGTATTGCGTATTCTCACGTAGTGCACCACATGTGTGCTATTGCTTTTTGCTGCGCGCTACAGTTTGGCTGTGTGCGGTGCACGGTCGTGTCAGATAGTGTGCTCGTAGTGCGATCGTTTTTCTCAATTGTCATGTAGGTCATGTTTTCAACTTGGGTACACGGGCCACTGTTCGGGTTGTCTGCCACCATCAGATGAATACAAGCGTGTACTCACAGCAACAGTCCCGCCAACATGGGCCCAAACCTGCGTTTCGCTAGCAATCTAGCTAGCAATCTACGTTGTACAATTTATGTGGAACAAGCGGTGTGGTGCTATCTGTGTGGTGCAACGTGTGCTGCGCAGTCACAAATACGCAATCTAAGACGTGCAATTGGGTTTGTACAGTAATTGTGGAGCAGTCCAGGTATTGCACGCTACGTAGTGCATTCTACGTGACGCAATGTTTGTTTGCAATATACGTTGTGCAATCTATGTGGTGCAATATATGTGATGCCGTCTATGTGATTTGCCATCTATGTGGTGCGATCGACGATGCGTGGAGCAGTCTAGGTTGTGTGATACAGGTTGTACGATGTATGTCGTGCAGTCGACGCGGTACAATCTAAGTATGCGGTGCCAATCTATGGTGTGCACTTACTTTCTAAAACGACTGGGGGTTATCTGCTTCACTGCTCGCGCAATCATCCCACCCAACCGCCCGCAACTTGGCTTGCAATACGCGGCGGAGCATGCACTGAGTGCTTGGTGTTAACTGGTGCATCTCTGCGGCCGCCCTGGCCCGCACATGCTCGTGCACAGCGGCCAGCTATCTTGGCGCGACCGACGCGGCCGCGGTGGTGCTGACCGCTGGGCACTTCCCGGCGGGCACTTGAGCTCGAGACAAAGACTTGGGCAGGCGCGGTATCATTGTGACGTCGACAACGGAGAATACGATGATGATCATAACGATGATGGCGACAATGACAACAAAAAATACAGAGAGGTCCCTCACGGCGCCGATGCTGATCACGAAGGTGACGATGACGGTGTCCTCGCGTCGGTGATGATCGTGTTGGAAGTTCGGCATGCGCGCGCCGCCGACGCGCGCAAATGGCCCGAATGGTGCTATTTGACACGACTCGTGCCCACCCCCCCCCGCCCAGCACGCGCGCATGGGCGTTCGAATGATTTCGGCATGTGGCGCAAGAGGCCCGTCGGGTCGAATGCGATGAAAATGTAAGGAACAACCTTTGGTTGTCCGCAGGATTCGCAAGAACGCGCGCGCAGAGACACTCGAATTAATTATCCTTACGGCTACAGAACCTGATCAATTTTCAGGGCTCCCAGCATGCGCGCGCGACGACGCGCGCATGCGCACTTCGTTATTATCGTTGGCAACGGAGTCTTGCGACAGTGCGCGCGCAAGGGCGTTCGAACGATTTCGACATGCGCGCGCGAAACGCATGGTATGTAGCATTTGATGAATATGTTGGAAAACAGGTTAAGGTGTTCTTAGTGATATGCAAGAGCACGAACGCATGCTTCTGTTTCTGAGAACTCTTGTTGGGAAACCTTATGTGCTTCATGTGATCGGGACACGCGGTTTTGAAGTCCTTGTGAAACCGAGCCTGTTGAAGGACTTCGGCATATGCGCGCGCGACGACCAGCGCGTTTGCACTTCTTTGCGTGTGTTGCAAGGGCTGCTCGCAAACAAATGAGTACGCGCGCGTGGTATGTTGTGGCAGAAAGAATGAAAAAAAGGGGGTCGATAAGGGACTGTCTGGGATGAGACTACTTCAATGTTGGATGGACGAGTGTGCATACTGATATACAAACAACCCCACGAAAGGACTACGTGTTAAGTCAGGGGGAGGTCGATCTTAAAATCTATTTTAGAAAACGAAAGACAGCATGTGTATATGTATGTACACATCACTATGTGTATATATGTGTATATACACATAGACATCGAGTGAGCACAATACTTGTGCAGCAACACGTTCGGTGCAATGCATGTGGTGCAACCTGCGTGGTGCAATGTGTTGTACGACCTAATTATGATACGCACTATATGCTGCGCAATATTCGTGGAAAGCTCTACGTTGTGCGCATTGTCCGGCGCCGTGCCCTCGAGGCACGGTTGGAAGGTGGCCAGGTCCTTGGTCTAATCCCCCAAGCGTCAGTCCTCCATTCCGAAGATGACTTAAGAGGGGCCCGGACCCAGAGTTCCCAGATCGGCCAGGCCTCCTCGCGTTGCCCCTGCGGCCCAGGGCGTCTTCTCCCGCGACCCGTTCGGTCCCGCGAGGGCCCCCCCCCTCGAGACGGGTCCGGAGGGCCCCGAATCGTCGCACGGTCGGTCCCAGACGCCCAGGATGGCCCCGAGGCGGCCCAGGAAGCCTGCGAGGCGCCCAGAGGGAGGGCCCCGAGGGGCTAAACTCCTTGATGTCCTCTGGGCCCTCGGATGTTTCTGGGAGCCTTCGACTTCTTTCGAGCTGCGGACGCTCCAAGACGCTCCAGGACGCCCCCAAGGCCGATGCAAGACGGCCGCAGGGGCCTCCAGGAGGGCCACCTGACGGCCCGAGGAGGGCACCAAGACGGCCCCAGAGGCGCTTGGGACGGCCCAAGAGGGCCCCAAAACCATCCCAAGAAGAGCACAGGAGGAGGAACGCGAACGGAACATTCACGTCTTCCACCCCAAGAGGCCCCCAAAGGGACGACGCCGACACCGCGGCAAACCCACGGCAAACCTTGCGCTGCATTCCATGCCCAAGCA